GCTCATCCCGCTCAATCTACTCAACTCTCCAACCTCTCCCACTTCCAAACCAACCCCCAAACCAACTCTCTCAAAATGACTGGAGGCAAGTCCGGAGGCAAGGCCAGCGGCTCCAAGTCCAGCGCCCAATCGTGAGTACTCCATCTCCCGCATCGCGCCTTGAGCTCCAGTTTGCCTTGCGCATTCTTTAGCATCACTTTGCATCCTTTTGACGCGTCTTTTGCTTGATCGACGCGTCTTTTCGCATTGCATTGCGCACTCCATCTCCAACATTGCATCATAGCTAACTCGTCCTTAGCCGCTCATCCAAGGCCGGTCTCGCTTTCCCCGTCGGTCGTGTCCACCGTCTTCTCCGCAAGGGCAACTACGCCCAGCGTGTCGGTGCCGGTGCCCCCGTCTACCTCGCTGCCGTCCTTGAGTACCTCGCTGCTGAGATCCTCGAGTTGGCCGGTAACGCTGCCCGCGACAACAAGAAGACCCGTATCATTCCCCGCCATCTCCAGCTCGCCATCAGGAACGACGAGGAGCTGAACAAGCTTCTCGGACACGTCACCATCGCCCAGGGTGGTGTCCTCCCCAACATTCACCAGAGTACGTTGCTCCACAGTCCACTCGCATCGCATCAGCTGCTAACATACTTTCAGACCTTCTGCCCAAGAAGACAGCCAAGCCTGGCAAGGGTCCTTCGCAGGAGCTCTAAACGCGTCCTGCATTTGAGTTTCTTCTTCACGGCGTGGTTACTTCATGGGTCTTTTTCATCTGCAATGATAATGGGAGTCGGTCTGGGTTTGGGTTCTCGGCTTTTTACGGGATTTATACCAGAGCTGTATATTAGCTGGTTGTATTGACGACCGCGAGCTCATGAGCTGAATCGAGAGCATATCACTTCATCTACCATCTTCTGCCGTGAATTCCATCTTGCTAACGTCCAGCTTTGCATACGCGCTATTTGGACTTTGCCATGCGCGCCGTGTAACCTTATCCACCAGCTAGCTACACCGCCACTTGTCGCGCTTGTTCATCTGAGTAACGCGCAGACTCCACTTCCCCTACACGTGCGATAACGTTGCGTCGCCCGTATAACACCATCGCGCATCCTCGACCATGCTGTCTTGACAAGCATTTCGCGTTCGAATAGAGACAATCGGGATTCTGGGTATTCAGCGACGAGAACAAGCGAATTGGGCAATAGGTGGCATATATGTGCATGGTAGAGATAGTCATATTTGCTGCGTTGAGCGCATCCCATGTGGTAGTCGACGGAGCTGTGTGACGTAACCCGGGGTACGATGTACCACCTACCGTGGACTACACTGCGCTCGGATAACAGTCAATTAGCACTTCTGGGTAGTTTAGCTGTATCTTTGGACGATAATGGTGCAAATATGCATACTATGCGTAGGTGACTAGTGTTCTTAGCGGTTCACCGTGAATGCACTGTGCACATGTCCACAGGTGCACCGTCTCAGATAACATGACTTGATATATCCTCCGTGTTCGAACTAATCCTCTTTTCATCTGTAATGTTGGCTATACTCGGTTTTCTAGGTCCAAGGTGTTCATTTCGCATGATGTGTGTTGGTGGATGTCTTCCTCGGGTCATGTACCCATCTGCATTGTTGACGGCGTGCTGAACGTAAAAGGCATGCTACGTATTTTATGCCATGAAATGTATGTTATACATCACGCGCAGCTGGTGGTATGATAGCTTCATGCTGGTAGCGTCGATTGGTTCTTTTCCTCGTGTGTTGTTTGTTCGAGATATGTTGGAAGGTTCACGTTGAACTTTTGGGTTAAAGTACTAACAGCAACTTGTTCAAAAAATATTCACGTTCCACCACCACACTCAAAACCTTTGAAACTGCATGTATCGACTAATGGAAACCCATTTTTCGTCATGGAACCAATTGTGGGTTCGATTTCCAACGTTGTGGTGTACACTTCATATAACAGCCTTCACGGTGTGCGAACCACAGACGCGACCACCGCGCTTTCACATACTAGACGCGTATACGCGCGTTTTTGTACATGCAAATAATTACAACAAAACGACCAGAGGCTATAGAGACGAACATATCTATTATATTCGTCATGTAGACATGAACGTCGACGCGTCAAGTACCGTCTGGCCTGCGCAAAGACGCGACATTGACATGGGAACACATCCACACACGATATCACTCAAGCAACGCCCAACCTGCACCAAATCACTCATGCACACAGCTGAAGCCTAATCAAACACATGTATGCAATACGAATGATTCAATGCATGCAAAAACATCTCGTTGATCCATTCAACCACACCTCTCTCTGCCCCGCTACTAGTTCCCGCGCTTTCGCGCAAAAACCTGCCATCCTACATATACACAAAGACACGATTACAGCATCAACGCTTACAAGAGCATCTTCCTGGGGTCCTCAATGTACTCCTTGACCTTGACGAGGAAAGTGACAGCTTCCCTTCCGTCGAGCAGTCGGTGGTCGTATGTGAGCGCAAGGTACATCATCGGCCTGATCTCGACCTTTCCGTTGATAGCGACTGGCTTCTCCTTGATGGCGTGCAGACCGAGAACGGCGGTCTGGGGAAGGTTGATAATGGGAGTACCCATCAGACTGCCAAAGACACCGCCGTTGGAGATGGTGAAGGTACCACCAGCCATGTCCTCAATGGTGAGCTTGTTGTCGCGCGCCTTCTTGCCGAGGTCGGCAATGGCCTTCTCGATGCCGACCATGTCCAAGCTCTCAGCGTTTCGGACGACGGGGGTGACGAGACCCTTCTCGGTAGCGACGGCAACGGAGATGTCGACGTAGTCGCGGTAGACGATGGTGTCGCCGCCGTCAGGGCCCTCAATGGAGGCGTTGACAGCGGGTACGTCGCGTGCGGCGAGAATGCAGGCGCGCGAGAAGGCGGACATGAAACCGAGCTTGACGCCCTTGTTCTTGAGAATCTCGTCCTTGTAGAGCTTGCGGAACTCCATGATGGAGGACATGTCGACCTCGTTGAAGGTGGTCAGGGAGGCGGCGGTGTTTTGCGACTGCTTCAAGCGCTCAGCGATGCGGAGGCGCATGCGGTTCATCTTGACCTGCAAGGCTGTTAGTATACATAATTGAGCGTACAGGAGGATTACATACGCGGCGCTCCTCACGGCTGCCAGGTGTAGCCGGCTTGGTCTCCTCGGGCTTGGAATCCTTCTTGGGAGGTGCAGGCTTGGATTCTTGCTTGGGCGGCTGGGGCTTCTCTTCCTGCTTGGGAGGCTCGGGTTTCGACTCCTCCTTTGGCGCTTCTGGCTGAGACTGCTCTTGCTGGCCCTCGGGTTGCGACGAAGTCTCCTGGTCCTTGGACGCAGGCTCCTTGGGCTGCTCACTGGCCTCCTCCTTCTTTCCGCCAGCGGGGGCACCACCAGCCTCAAGCTTTACGATGTCCTGTCCGACGGTGACGGTGTCCTCCTCGTTGACGAGGAATTCCTTGATAGTACCAGCCTCGGGCGCATTGACGGCGACGTCGATCTTGTCGGTCTCGATAGTCGCGATTTCTTCATCCTGCTCAACGTAGTCGCCAACCTCTGCATATTGTTAGCTACTGGCATAACCAATTGGACATGGTGAACGCACGTTTTGACCACTGCTTCAGGGTTCCCTCTGTGATCGACTCAGCCATCTCGGGCACCTTGACGATGGTGTCGGCATAGCTTCTTGTCTGCTCGAGGGTCCATAGGCGTTGTGAAGAGAGCTGTCCAGGCCGTCTGTAAACAGTTAGTGTTGGGCATTTTTATTAGATGTAGACATTTGCAGTACCTTGAAGCTTGGGCGAGGAGACCAGAGGAGTTCGCCTTGGAGATGGCGGAATAGCTGCGCGCGGCTGGGATGGCTCGTGGGCTTGCGCGCAAAGCTCGCACAGAGCGCATAGCCGCTGGTAGACGGCGGAGACACTGCTGGCTGGACATGATGGGCGGCCAGGCGAAGACTGGGAAAAAGGAAATTAAGATGCGAGTGAGAGCGATGGGCGACTTCGAGCGAACGAAGGTTTGTGTATGAGTCCCCTTGCGGCAGTTGTATGGTACTGAAGCAGACACGGCACCACACTTCTGACGTCTCGGAAGCCACCCTCCGTCACAGGCACAAATGCCAAGCCCGCAACCTCACGCTGCCCTCACCAAGCCATCTGCGACAACACCGTGGCATTGCGGCCACGACCCACGTTTCTCCCTTCCGCAACAACTCCCACTGGAAGGGCCATCGCCGTCATGAGCTCTAAGATACACGTCCTGTACGCCAAACCCCCGCAGGCGTCGCCCTTTACGCGCAGAAACTAACCCGGCCGCAGACGCCTCTACAGGCGGTCCCTCAAGCTCGCCCTCGACTGGAGCGTCCACCGATACCTCTGGCGCGGACAGGCCCTGTACATCCGCGAACTCTTCGAGGCCAAGCGCAATGTTACCGAGCCGCGACAGATGAGGGTGCGTCTCCCTGTTCCACCACCGCGATTACATCGAACTCCACATATATTACGGCTGCACAGAGGACTCTGCTGATGAGTCGCATAGGAACTGATCAAGGAGACGGAAAACCTGCTCGAGAAGTGGAAGCACCCAGACCCTTACCGCCCACCCACGGCTCCTGGAGGTTCGTTGCTAATGCCCGGATACATTTCCGCACCGGCCGCGGATATGAATGTACTGACGGGTGTTGTAGGATCAAAGTACGAGCGCAACCTGCCTTGCCCAATCATCGATCGTGAGTTCACCATCAAACATTTCCACTCCATCTGCTGACGGCACACAGCTCCACCGAAGATGATTTTGTAGTCGGGGACATTGGAACAAGCATGGTATCACGTGTACATATTACAGCTATAGTGCGACTCAACAGTAGTTCGCAACAAGAAGCCAAAACCTCCATTTTGTTTGTTCAATGAGAGGCTGCTGTGAAGGTCTCGAAGCACCAACCCCATGATTGCATTCCGTCTTGGAGCGCTAATGAACAATATCTCCAGCGTGAGGTCACGTCTGGAACTTCCTCACCCTCCGTACAGTGCTGAGGTATCCCATACCATCTACAAGGTCATCCTTCTCGACCCAAACGGGTAGATTACCAACACCTGTCGTCGATTTCCTCGCTTCTTCCTGCGCATATGCGTCCTCCAAGTAGGCCCATTCTGGCACGTCGCAGCATCCGCCTACAAAGATAGTCCTCTCGGGTGACAAGTTGTATAGCAGCGACTCGTGTGTCTTTGGTACCAGCACTTCTACAATCTTCTTCTCCGGATTGAAGCCCCGAATCATCGCCGTGCAGATTAGTCTCGTCGTTCGAGGATCCAGCGGCTCCACCATTCCTGTGCGCGCGGACTCGGGGAGATATGGAATACCAAATTTCTGGGTCCGTGGAAGCGAGCCTGGAACTGCAGCAGATGTGGATTGGATAATGTGTACGATAGATCCGTTCAGTGCATGCAGCATTGAAGATGGCTCGACTGGCTCAGAGTACATTGCGAAAGCCACTAGATCCTGTGCTCGTTCGGGCGTTTCTTCGTAGCAGAATTCCCATGGTACTAGACTTGAAAGCGCCTCCGGCGTCCAGCTGAGTACTTGGGCCTGGCTTGAGCTTGTACTGCTCGATTTGAGATGGAAGTAGGATTGCATCTGCATAGCTCTTAACTCATTATCCGACCTTACAGGTATCGTCTGGGCCTGTTGCGCGGTGATCTCATGGAATGTGCCGTGAAATTGCGACGTTGATGTCTGAAGCAAATGCAGCTTTGCCGCAGTTTCGGTGTCGATGGCCCGCGTATCCCCGAGATGTACGACATTGTGTGGTTTGATTCTGGCCAGCAGCTTTGTTAGGAGGTCGAAATGTGAAGAGTAGAGGAAGTCGGGTATGTCGACAACTAGTGGGAGAAAGGAATCCCGCGAGGAAAGGTTTCTGTATGCCAGGAAGAGATCCTCAACGCAAGACTGATAGTAGTCTGCGTAGTTGGCGAAATTCGCCGGAATTGGATGTGCGCGGATAAGCTCATTCCTCATCGCTTCTTTTGGTCCTGGTACAATAGAGGGGTGTGTGAAACTTGGGCCCAGGTTCAGATCTCTCACTATGGCAAGAGAGACTTGACCTGCGGGGACATGCTCTTGTTTTTGCGGGTCGAGATCCATCCAGCATACAGCTGGTACAGAGGGAGCGGTCTTGCCTAGACCTGTAAGGGAGCGATTTACGAGCCGCCGAGCGAATGTTGATTTGCCTGAGCTAGGTGATCCAGTCACTACGGTGATAGATGGGTTGCTAGCACAGTCTTCGATTGCGCGGAGCCAGTCTTCGGGTGTCACTTCAGGACGTAATGGCCGAGAAAGTGTATCCGCGTCTGAGTTGGTTACCTAACAGAGAAGTTAGATGGCCGTTATGTGTCGAGATCTCAACCTTTCTCACGCATGTACCGTCGCGATCAACGCTGGATAGGTGTATAAGGATGTGGCACTTACAACTCGGAACGAACGATCCGTTGAATCGCTCCAGATACCGTCAAAGAGTGGACTGACGTTTGCGAGGGGGGCAGATATCTTGCAAGTCTTGAACCTGATGTGGTTCGTACCATCTAGTCCGCGAATCTTAGACATAGGGTGCGTGGCCGGCACGCACGCTCGATGAACCTGGTTTTTCTGTCCATCACGACTGACTGTTCCAATATTAGCACCATTGATGTTGACGGCGCCTCGTAGAACTGTCAAATCAAAAGTGCCTATCAGTGTTATAGTCGCGTGTTTGTTCAGGTTGATGGTGAGTTCGGTGTCGGTATCTGACAGGATGTTTTGGGGTTCGTTGCGCCAGTTGCAAAGCTTGATATTCCGATGTACGGGCGCATGGGTCTCCTCTTCATCTGAACCTCCGTGCTCAGATTTTGCAGCATCAAGCAACGGGCTCGTTGGCACAGGAATCTGCTCCAGCGCAACTTGAGGTGTATTCACAACTTGGGCGGCAGCTTCCGCTTTTAGTCGAGCAGCCGCAATCGCAGTGAGCGGCTTTGCGCTGGGCGCACCAGCAGCCACATCTTCCCCTCTCTTCCGTTTCCCTGACATACTGACTTTGGATGTTGACATTGGTGTTCTGCGTGTGCCCATCATTTCAAAGATCAAACCAATGATTTTTGGCGCGCCAAGTCCTAATCGGGACTAGTCGCGATGCGGCTCTTCTCCGCCGCCCAGTGCCCGAGCGCGACAGTTCGCGGCGCAAAAAAGTTCCTTACGAACCTCGACTTTCTGGTCGCAAAGAGCATGGCTCCACCCACACTATGAGTGCCATACAGAAAACCAAGGTGCCGCTCCCGGGCTCCAAGCCGAAGTCAAAACCTCAGAACACCCCGTCGAAAGCGCAATTAAGCCAGGAATTTGTCGACAGCGACGATGATTCTCCCAGTGAGACCGCCGCGCAGTCCAAGAAGCCCGAGAAGCCGAAAGCTACCATTGGCATTCACGTAAACGGCGTGCCCAAAGCGAAGTCCAAGCCTAGCAAGAAAGACGTACCTGCCCCCAAATCAGCCTCGAAGTCGAAGGTTATGCCTAAGAAGCCCGCGCCCAAACAAATCGCGACACAGGAGGACGCCGAAGACTTGTCAAGCTCAGAGATAAGCGGCGACGACGCGCCGACCAGGGACATACAGACGAAGCTTCCAGGTAACACGCAGAGCAAGAAAGCTTCGAGCGACAGCGACGACACCAGCAGCGGAGACAGCTCTAGCGACGACTCGGACACAGGCAACGCCCCGCAACCGACCCGCAAGCCGACCCAAACACAGCCGGCACCTCCAGTGCAACCACAATCGCATGCCGTTGATTTCCGACCGACTCAGGCTTACGCACCCCCCAAAGGATTTGCTCCAGTCCCAGTCAACGATAGGACTATCTCCAAGTCGACGGGCTTGTTCGATAATCTAGAAGGAAAGCAGATATGGCATATCACTGCTCCCGCAGGTGTCTCGCTGAAGGACTTGAGCGAGCTCGCCATGGACAAAGCTATGAAAGGGGATGCCGTACTGAGCTACAAGGGTACAGACTACGGTTTCTCTCAGACCGAGAGTGAAGATGGCACCCGGGAGGTTCTATTACCACGGAACAATGGCATGAAACCAGGTTCGTTCATCAATTACTGCCTCTACCGACTATACTGACCTGTCTAGCCCCTACGCGGATATCTCAGACTTTACGCCTACGATCGGTTGTACGACTTCCCCACCTTACCACAAAGCAAGCAGACCAAAACACGGGCTCAGAAGCGGCCGCCTCCATAACGCGATCGACCATTCGTGCACCACGACCACAAGTCACAGGACTGAAGATGCGCTTCCTTCCCACCGGCTTCAGTGGTAACGACGCTGGGACTATCGGTGATTCCGACGAGGAGACTGAGGTACCACAGGCGATTGCTGGGCTTGCGATGCCGAACGGACTTAATTTACCCTCCAAAAAGCCGAAGAGGAAACACGCTGATGTCAATGGTGTTGATGCACCTGAAGTGCCGGCGAAGAAGACCAAAAAGCAACGGGATCCTGAGGAGATCAAGAGGAAAGAGGAAAAGAAAGCAAGGAAAGAGAAGAAGCGTGCAAAGGAAGCGGCTGCGGCCTGAGAAAGGCTCACAACTGCTTCAATTAGCACGGCATTTGCTCACACAGCGTTCTTATACCAAAAAGCATACTCGGTCAGAGCGATCGATATCTTCGCTACCTCCACAAATCGGTCTGCATACTACTGAGCGTACATATGAAGCGAATTGGATTTGACGGGGTTTGACGAGAAGCCGTCACAACGAGGATTGTTATTAGCGTTTAGCACGAGTTCATCATAGCATCAGTACTGTCCGGCATGGGAAGGATAGTACTCAATCAGTCAATAAGAGCACGGGTCCATGCCCCAATCAACACTGTCGCTGTCGTTGTCTCGAACTATTTGGCTTGTGGAATTGTTGCTACGTCTGATATCTAGGCAACAGCCTCAACAAACTTAGCAAAATCCAGTGTGCCCAGCCCAGTCGCCGCATCCCATCCCACAGCAGTCTCCCACCCAGGCTCCGCAGTGCGGTTAACAATACAACTACCCGACTGACCCTCAGTCACATCCACAAACACGTGCCGGAGCTCATCCGAGTAAAGCAAGGGGTTCAAGAAACCCAGCGCCGGCTTCCCAGCCCGCATCCTCTTGTCGTTTGCAAGCGCAATCATAGCCGCAATCACAGGCGTACTCGCACTCGTCCCTTTCTGCTTGATACCACTCTCATCCATCACGAATCGCGTTCCAATAGCCGAGAGATCGGGTATACCACGTCCACCAGGCGCATACCATCCATCATGCGACCCGTTTAGTTGCGCGATGTACTTCTTCGCGTCCGCGTCCTGCCACGTAGGGCGGTCAAAGTAGTCGCTAAACCCGCCTGCACTGAACCACTCTGCGCTAAGCGGGGAGTAGGCAGCCGTTGCGCCAACACTCGTGACGTATGGACAGTCGACGGGGAACGTAGGGCGGAACTTGTTGTTCTTACACTCTGAAGATCCGGTGCCGGCGGAGCCGCCGTCGCCGCTGGCTACGAGGACGGATGTACCCCGCGCTCCGAGCTGCATGAAGAGGTTGCATGCGCGCTTGGCGTAGGCGCGTGGAATCCATGCCTCGTCGTCGGTGTAGGATATCGAGAGCACAGTAGGTAGTTCATCGCGTTCGAGCAGTGCTTCCAGGAACTCGATCCATGGCTCATTAAGGCTGGAGGCGAGGGGCACTTCGGTGCCGTTCTCGTCGAGATACGGGCCTCTGCCGCCCGTGGAGAAGTAGGTTACGTTCATGGGCTGTACGAAGGGCATGCTGTATTGGATGTCGAGTTGGGCTTCCCCGCCAAAGCCGAGCTTAGTGTCGTTGCCGTCCTGGATCGAGGCGACGGTGAAGTTGTAGAGAGGGTTGTAGCCGGTGGTGTTGCGGTAGGGACTGAAGTTTTCCAGGAAGGAGTGTAGAAGGGGCTCGTTAGGGTATTCTTCCAGGAAGCCGGCGATGCCCAAAGTCACGGGGGAGTCGGAGTCGGGGATCTGGTAGTTGATGTTGTACATGGACATGATGCAGTCGGGTGTTGTGTCTCCACCAGGGCAGGTTTGCGATGCTAGGAGGATGGTCAGCTGGATTTGCCCGGTTTGTTGGGTGAGAGTAGCGCAGCTGTTACGTACATGAATCCTGTCTCTTCTCGGAATGTAATTCTGATGATGGCAGTGCTTTCTTGGAAGGCTTGCGGATGAATTGGGTGACGGGGTAGACAAAGTCAACGTAGTCTGCTACCGCACTGGGGAGGCTGTACTTTGTCGCGCGTAGAACAGGACTATCATCGTTGTATTGGTAGCGACCGAAATCAGCGTCAATGAGTTGGCTCGCTGTATCAACGGTAGTGTTGATTCGTAGCCACGACCCTTCAACTGAGAATTGTACTCCGTTAGCATTGAGCCATGAACGCACAGCGACAAGACCGTCTTGATCTGGCTGCTGAAAGTTGCTTATTTCGTCCTGAGATAAATGTGCCCCATACTTTGCGTGTGATGGATCGCTTAGTTTTTGGAGATGTGCTTCCAGCTCCGACATGCGAGGCTGCTTTAGAGCGACTGACAGCGTTAGGGGTAGAGAACCATCGGCTCCACCGACAGACTTCCAACCGTCTGGAAGCTCTACAACACTCTCATGTGCAGCATTGTCTTTTGCCGCCGATCGAGCAAAGGCGCCCAGAAAGGTCGCGCTCGAGACAAGAGTTGAGCCCAATCTCATGATGCAGCCGACGATGAATTGAAATGAAAGAAGAAGAGTCGATGTTTCGGGTATATACGAGAGCAATTCAGCAGAGCATCGCAGACTTATGAGCGCGCGAGAGGAGATGAAAATTGCAAAGACAGCATGATGCAATGAATCATGGCGAGCGTCGACCCTCGACCGTCAACACCTCCAATACGGTGCTATCTGAGGACCTTCCTAGTGTGACGTATCGCAATTTTCTACGACCCCAGCAGGGATAATGTTAAGCATTGACAACAAGCATCGCGAATGACCAAGAGCGGGCGGTATTGCTGCGACATGGGTGCGGATAATACTCGTATTTCGAGGTTGCGAGCACCCGGTCAGTCTCGCTGGTATTGCGGGTGCCAGATGGGATGTAGAGGTATTTGCCTAGCTCTGGTCGTATTTTTAGACAGCTAGATCTGCAAACACGATAGAATGTACACCGACGAGGTCCAAGGAGCGAGGAAAACAATGTAGAAGGTTAGAGAAAGGTTGGCTGTGTACCTGCCCAGGTGTAGCGTACTTCGTACCTAGGTAGAGCGAACGCGAATGTGGGTCGCTGTTTGACACTAGCAAATTCCCGTACCTGCACGCCGGGGTAGCTGCCGCGACTCCACTGGACGAGTAAACTACCTAGGTAACATCGCGCATGTTCCAATATTAGCACTCTTGCACCAGCTTTACTGTCGTTCACGACCTTCTTTGTGCTTCTGCGCTTGGACAAGAGGGCAGGATGGCCCTTGTAGCATCGTATCCAAGTCATGCGAATCGCTGACAGCAAGCAGCGCGGACCGAAAACTGTCGGTGCGCCCCTTTCCTGGATCTCACCGCAAGGCAATCCACTCCGCTCCCTGTATGGGACACTCGAAGGCATGAAGCGATAAGATTTTTTTGCGGCTAGCCGTCGTATTTGGCGGGATCAGTCGGCATGAAGCGACGGATACGGCCAAATTAGTCTGGCATCAAGCTTGACTTAAGACCTCTTCGCTATCTCTAAAGTCAGATCAATCGTCACCGACCTCACCGACGCTCTTCTTCTCTCTGCTCGTCAAAATGGTTCGATACGCCCTCACCATCTCCGCGCTCGCCAGCAGTGTCCTGGGTGCTGTGTCTACGGTCAACATACCACTGAACTTCGCGCACGGCGGCGCCCAGAAGATCTCAACGGAGCTCGTCGATCCCTCGACCAACCGCACCATCGAAATCGTCGTCGACCAAGGTTCCGAGAACTTCTGGGTGTTCGGCCCCGACAGCATCAGGAACTGGGGATGCACTCGTCTCGGCTGTGCAGGCCCTTGCAACGAGACGGTGCAGCCTTTTTACGACTACCCAAACAGCCCGTCCGCGTCTAAACCAGTACCCTTCCGATCCTCCTACTCGTATGGAGGAAACAGCAAGTTCATCACTGGAGATGTGGCGGTGAACGATACCTTTCAATTCGTTTCCGATGCGGGCCTTTCGTCGACCGTGGACACGGAAGTCGCGATTTCAAGCTACATGACATCGCGCCTCGGCGACAGCAGCGGAAAGTGTACTCCGACGTCTTCGTTTGACGACGGCATCTTGGGTATCTCCCCATACTACCGCAAGCCGACCTGGAACACGACCGGCCCGCACGTGCGCCAAAACCTACTCGAGGCTGGCGCCATCTCCGCGCCCGTACAGAGTCTGTGGTTCGACGAGGCGCCTGAAGGAATCGAAGATACGTTCACCGGCCATGTCGTCTTCGGCGGCGTCGACCACTCCAAATACACGGGCGACCTCGTCAAGGTCCCCATGGTTGAGGCTCCGTTCGGTGGTGTGACACTTGGCTACTACGTCAACCCGCCTGTCGTCTCAGTCAACGGAACAGCTTTCGAGAACTCAGACATCATCTCTCCCACCTGCCTCGTCGACTCCGGCACCACACTCGATTACCTACCCGTCAGCTACAGTCAAAATGACCAGTTCGCTGCTGCCGCTGGTCTCGTTGTCGACGAGTATGGTGTCATTGGCTGGAACGGTACATGCGAATCTATCCCCAAAGACACTACTATTGATCTAGAGTTCACTGGTGTCGAGGGCAAGAAGGTCACCGTCAAGATTCCGCTGCGCACTTATGCTCGCTCGGGTGTCAACCCGTCTACAGGTATCTGCTCGCTTGCGTTCTCCACTGGTGATTGTCTGTTTGGTGCGCCATTTGCTACTGCCGCCTTCTTTGCTGCTGATGATGCGGCGGAGACGGTGGCGTTTGCGCAGGGTGGTGTGTCGAAGAAGGGAAGCAAGCCCGATCCTAACTCTATCACTTTGGATCTTGCTTAGCGGGAGTGTCGTCGATGAAGTTCGATTCTAGTATATATGAAATTAGCAATGTCAATTTAGACCTGAATGATCATGGATGATAGTTGTCCTTCGCGGTGTCGTGTGTTCTTGAGCCTCGTTATTCCTTAGTCTCAGACGAGACAGCACTCTGAATTTTTTCCTACCACATGTTAGTAGTGTCACTTGAGTTTTGATGCTTTACGTGTTTATCACATGCATCAGACGGGTGAAGTTGTAAAGGTAATGTCACTTCAGCCCGGCAGGGGATCCGGTTGGCCCTAAGAACCTGGGCAGGGACCGGCCGCACGGTAGCCCAAGCTGACGAAATCGTACTAGCGCAAACAACGCGCGCTCTGTTGTCACTCAGGCGAGGGCAGGGAATCACCGCAATTGTCGTCAACTTTCACGACACTGCAGCCTCGGCCGTCGCACTATGCTGGTGAGCAGGCCTCGGAAAAACACCATTGCACGCGACTTCCACGCTTATTGCGCGCGCACCCACCCCCATGGCTACCGCAGACAACGCTCCTGCCCGGAGTGCTGAGGCCTCGCAAACAGACGAAGCCGACTCCACACCCTCCACCCCCACGCTGGCACCCGCACACGAAAACCACATGGCGCACGATATCTCAGACGCCGACGACGTCAGGGCTTTCGACCAGCCCGACTCGGACCTGCCGCCGCTACCGACCGAAGAAGACAGCATCATACACCATGTCATCGAGGAAGAAGACGCGCACCATGGCGAAAGCGTCTTCGAGGATCGCGAAATGCAGCGCCAATTGATGGACATTGAATCGAGCTTTATTCCCGAGGCGCCTGTCCACGTCGAAGCACCTCAAGGGCAGTCTGGCGTAGACGATACCTACCTGTTCGGGGGCTCGCCAGGAAATTCCCAGCAATCGGCTCGACCCATGGACGACGATGCGGATATGCAAAGAGTCATGGACAATCTGGAGGAGCTGACAAAGCCAAAGAAGAAGCCAAAGAAGCTCGAAGTGCGTAGTGGGAACACACCGACCAAGTCGCAAGCCAGGAACAGCCACCACAGCAACTCCTCCTCCTTTTCCGAGGCTGCGACGCCTGCCGACGCTTACAAGACGCCTGCCGCCAGACGTCTGGACTTCGGAGGAGAAGACGACTCAATGGATGCGAGCACCGCAACATCAGAGGTCGCACCTTCCTCGCCCGCTGCAGAGGCCGCGCATCGAAGCCAATCACGCGCCTCGGCAGGCAGGTCTACAGAACAAGCAGCTGGAGGAGAAGGCGCGCATCAAGCGAACCAAGCTGCAGCAGCTGCCCAGCTAAAAGAGGTGGACGTGCGACGGCCGACATCCAGTGCCTCGACAGTGAAAGCTCCCGATTTCTCGCAGATTGAAGAAGGTTCTTCTCTTACGAACGAGAACGAGTCTAGCGTGGATAGTTCAGCCATGCCTCCACCACTGGTTCCCGCGAGCGCGCAGAAGATCAGCAAGCGACCCAGCTACCTACAGCACCGAGGTTCGAGCCAGCGGTCATCCGTATCGTCCTTCACCAACCGTTCCGACGCGTCTGGAGATGGCGGAAGCAGTGCAAGTCTCGGCGCAGACTATGCTTTGCAGACTGGTGGTGCTATTCCTCGTTCGAGCGGACCACGGGGGATGAGCCTAGGACTGTCAAGACTGCCAAGCTTGGGTAGCATCGCCTCGTCTATGTCAGGATACAGCGATACCAACCCCTGGGAGAAAGGCCGGAGTATTAGCACGAACTCACTGTCCGCTTTTCTTCAGCCGGACAATAGTCTAGGTCGTCTGGATGAGGAGGTGCCTAACAGTGCGACTCCACCAGAAACACCACGCGCTCCCAGTGTGCAGCCCGCCCCTACCGACACCGTTATTGCTAGACATATCCAGGACATACAAGTGCCAGACTCTATTGCGCGCGACTTCCGGGCTAAGCACTCGCGATCGCCAGACAAACGACACATGGCTACTCCCTTCACTCGCAGTAAACACAATCTTACACTAAAGGAGCAGAATAGCAAAATCGACAAGCTCAGCAAAGAGAACTTTGATCTTAAGCTCAAAATCCATTTCCTCGACCAAGCGCTGCAGAACCGGTCTGATG